GTTAGCATCACTAGTCATCAATGAAGTGAAGTGAAGGTCACTCAGTCATGTCCAACTCGTTGCGACCCCAGGGACTATACAGTCCATAGAATTCTCCAGGCCAGAATACTGGAGTGGGTAGCCTTTCCCTTCTCCAGGGGATCTTCCCAACCCAGGGATCAAACCCAGGTCTCCCACATTGCAGGTGAATTCTTTATCAGCTGAGTCACAAGGGAAGCCCACCACAGGGACATGCAAATCAAAAGCACAGTGAGATATGGTTACCTCAAACCTGTTGGAATGATTATTGTCCAATGGACAAGTGATAATAAGTGCTGATGAGGATGTGGAGAAAAGGAAATGTCTGTACACTGTTGATGGAAACATAAATTGGTACAGTCACTATGGAAGCAGTATAGAAATCCCACCCCACTCCCCCAGATTAAAAATAGAACTGCCAAATGATCCAGCAAGCCCACTTGTGGGTATATGTCCAAAGGAAATGAAATCATTATATAGCGATTACTACACTCCCGTGTTCCTTGAAGGTTTATTTATAATAGTCAAAACAAAGAAGCAACCTAAGTGTCCATGGACAGATGGAACATTATTCAGTCATGTCCTTTCATTTGCAAAAATATAGATGGGCTTTGAGGGAATTATGCTTCATGAAATAAGTCAGACAGAAACAATAAGACAAATATTGTACGTTTTCATGTATATGTAGAATTAAAAAACAAAACAAAACTGAACTCACAGAAACAGAGAGTAGATTGGTGGTTTCCAGAGGTGGGGGTTTTGGGGAAATTGTTGATGGTGGTTAAAGGGTGCAAACTTCCCATTATAAGATAAATAAATTCTATAGTTAATATTATCACATTGTACATTGTACATTGTATTTGTATATTTCAAAATCGCTAACAGAGTATATCATAAAAGCTATCACACCCCCCGCCACACAAGTCGTAACTAAGTGAGATGGTGCTTATGTTAACTAACCTTATTGTGGTAATCATTTCACAATATGTACACATATTCAATCAGCACATTGCAAAATCTTAAACTATCACAACATTACATGTCAATTATATCTCAATAATCCTGGAAAAACAAATGAAATATGGATTGAATTCTATTACAGATACCATTTGAGCTTTGGGGGTGAAGAGAGACTTGAAGTGGGGACCCCCAAGGCAATTAGCCTGATGAAGAAAGTAAATTGAAGAAGTAACTCCTCTCCAGGGGCTTCCCAGGTGGTGCTAGAGGTAAAGAACACTCCTGCCAATGCAGGAGACATAAAGAGACGTGTCTGACCCCTGGGTTGGGAGATCTGCTGGAGGAGGGTCTGGCAACTCCAGTATTCTTGCCTGGAGAATCCATGGACAGAGGAGCCTGGTGGGCTACAGTCCATGGGATCACAAACAGTTGGACATGACTGAAGTGAATTAGTACATATATATCTCCTCTCCAAACACATTCACTCAGTGGATCCAGGTTAGCCATGAGTGAGATTAACTTGCACTGACTAGTTAAGTCAGTCAGCTTGATTATACACATTAATAGTTGACTAAGAAAGAAAGAAAAGAAAGTGAAGTCGCTTAGTAGTGTCCGACCCTTTGTGACCCCGTAGACTGTAGCCTGCCAGGCTCCTCCGTCCATGGGATTCTCCAGGCAAGAATACTGGAGTGGGTTGCCATTTCCTTCTCCAGGGGATCTTCCCAACCCAGGGATTGAACCCGGGTCTCCGGCATTGCAGGCAGACGCTTAATCCTCTGAGCCACCAGGGAAGCCCAGTTGACTAAACATACATATACATAGATATAAACATATATTTTGTCTTCATATGAAAGTTAAATAGAGACCCTTAGGAAAATACAGCCAACATTTATATGGCATTTACTATGTATTCTACGCTTTTTTGTGTATGTTAACTAATATAATCTTTATTACAGCTCTAAATGGTAGGTATTACTTTTACATTTCTTTTTCAAGTTGAGGAAATTGAGGAAGAAATTAGTAACCTGCTCACAGTCACTCAGCCAATAAACAGGGAGGCCAAGAGACCTGGGGAGCCTGCCTCAAAATCTGAGACCTTAACTGAATGATTTATGTGGAAGGAGACAGCTATTCTTTCTCTATGGATGTATTTAAATTGTAAAATAAAATCAACTGTTAATCAAGACTGAAGAATATTGAGTGAGGTTGGTTAATCAGAAGAAAAACAGGGTCACCAAATTCTCTCAGATTCAGATGATTTTTAGCCAGGAGGCAGAGACTCTGTAGGAGTTGAGAATACAAGGACAAGCATAATTTTTTGCTGTGGGGAACAGTGCAGCCTTCTCTGCATTCTTAGTCACCATGGAGGTGTTAAACTGGCATAGAAAGTCAAGTTTTTCTCTCTTAAAGAAGAAAGTGCAGACTGGAGCTGGGAAAAGTTGGGACAAGACTGAAGGATAGAGGAGGTCATTGCCAGATAAGCAGATTTTGTATGTTTGTGTTTAAAATTTTTCTCTTTTTAATTTTCTTTTCCATATCACATTCTGGTAAATACTAAACAAACTATAGTTTGTCAGAAAAATCATTTATTGGGCAATCCCACTAGCCCGTCTGTGTTCACTGGCTCTGCGTTCATCTTGCAAATCCTCATTCGTATTACAATCCATTTCACTGATGAGGAAGCTGAGACAAGATTTCAGTGACTTGAGAATAAAGAGCTGAATCTCAATTTGCACTGCCTTCCTAAGAATTGCCAAAGCTGTACTTTTCCCAATGAATTAATACAACTCCCACACATCTTATTTATATAAGAGGCATTGAGCAGGTCATGCACTCCAAAGGTATTCTTTAGATTCCCCTCTTTATGGGGGATTTGTGGGCCCGTCTATTTATCTTATAATCCTACATTTTCTATGATAAAAACTGTTCTCTGGCAAAGTAAACAAGTATTTTTTGTGGTGAGGTTTTTTTTTTTTCCTCTTGGATAAGGAATGGGTTCTACAACCATTAGATCTTCCATTTAACAACTCTGTATGATAGTTTCTGTTGTGGAAAATGATAGGTGGTTTTAAAAGAGTATCTTAAAATTGAAATTTTCCTCCTCTTCTCTGTAGAGAATGGCAAAGACCAACTAAACGGTTCACTAAACACAGTGTCACTTAGATTCTGTCTTCTTCAGGCATTGATCACTATTCCAAGAAATAAATAGCATTTTCTTATAAATGACAAAATGCAAATCTTAAGTATGTACAAAACTTTACACAATAAGTAACCTGTTGGATTAAGAGTCTTTTTTAATGGTCCTGTAGTGAGGTATATCAGGCTTCCCAGCTGGCACTATTGGTAAAGAACTTGCCTGACAATGTAGGAAATGCCTGAAACAAGGGTTCAGTCTCTGGGTGGGGAAGATCACCTGGAGGAGGGAATGGCAACCCACTCCAGTATTCTTGCCTGGAGAATCCCATGGACAGAGGAGCCTGGTGGGCTATATTCCATAGAATTGCAAAGAGTCAGACACAACTGAAGCGACTTAGCACAAAACCAGCTGAGGTATATTATGCCTAGAGTACCTTTAAATTTTGATTCTAAGATATTGTTTTATGTATTATCTTTTTAAAGATTCTTCCAAGTGCATCAGTCATATTGCAGTGCTCATGGCTCAGGGCTGTCTGTGAAGAATTGGTCCAGCCCCCTAGAGAAATTCCTTGACTGCACTTAGCTGAAAATCTATTGTGTCTGCTCCAAGGCCAAACATTTGAGGCCCTTATCAAGGCTGGTAGTGCTAGAGAGGGGAGGGGGGATACAAGACGGGGCTGAGGGGGCTTCACACTGCGAGGTGTTCATCACTTTGCTTCAGTTCTATCAGCACTGAAGGAAGTTAAAATAAGAAAAGGGAAAAAAGAAAAAATGAAGCCCTAGCTGAAAGATGTCTTTCCTCATAGCCCTATCTCATTTGTTAGCATTCCCTCAGTGAACCAGCACATCTGAAGAATGTTGTGGAGGCAAACTACAGATTCCTTTAACTCTTCAAGGGAAAGAATGCTGTCCTGGAATTATTACTGTGGGTCGGTTTTGTTATGAAGGGAAGTGAACCACTTTGGTTCACGCAAACACTTGGAAGATTACAGCCCTCAGCCACAAGGGATTTGACAGAAGAGAAAGAAAAATCAGAGTTTACAGACTTTAAACAAAATAGAGACATCAGTACTTATTATCTGTGCATCAGTGAGATTAATATATGCAAGCAAAAATTTGTGAAGCAGATAAAAGAGACTACAAAACATTCAAATAGATTGCTAATATTAACACATAAAAGAAATATTGATATATATCACACTGAAGCATGTTAGCATTAACGATTTAAAATACTACTTATGCTTTAAGTAGCTGTCCTATGACCACATATTTTCTCACAACCAGGAAAAATTACTAGAATTTTTTAAAGCTCTTGTTAAATATTCAGTGTCAAGGGTTATGGAAACGGAACCATGAATTTAATATCTTGCATACATTTAAGGATCTGAATTGAAAATATTTGGTATTTGGGGTTAGGCTAATTTAGCATGAGGCTTAGGAAAAGCATGTTTGAATACAAAGAATGAACACTAAAATGAAACCACTGGAGATGTGAAAAAAAAAAAAACCCAAAAAAAAGAAAAAATAGGAGAACTATGCCACAGCAATATACTAACTCCTGGACTGTTTGTCAGCTGCACAGTTAACAGCCCTTGGTTTTCTAGTAGACCAGACTATGAATATTTTGACTTAAGGAGTTGCTGGTAGAGTGGTTATAAATCAGAAAATAAGTTTAGGTACTTTTTTCTTCATGTAAAACTATATTGAAAATTTTTATACTATTTTTAAAAGATTTGACCAACTTTCATTTGTTCTTGTGCTAATTTCATCCAATCCACCAGTGATGGTGGGAGAAGCTCCTTAGAAGGGGCATAAGTGACAGACTTGTGACAGAAAACAAGCTGTGTTCTTCTTTCTCATGATGTGCTCTTCTTTCTCATCTGTTACAGGACCCTGGAATTTTCCAAAAGACAGAATGATGAACAACACATCTTTATACCTGCCATCATACAGAGGTGGTAATATATAGGAATAATATATGTAAACACCATTTTTCATAGATTCAGTTTGGAGTCTGAATTTCCAACAAGGATATGGCTATAGATTCTACTACTTTGGAGAATATTACTTTCCAGCTTTTTTCAGAGATTCCATATAATTGCCCAGATTCGTGATGTCAATGTCAAGACTCTTCTGCAAATGCCAAGCTATGGCCAGGCAATGCCTGAGGAAGTCACGGCAGACATTGTTTTTAGGGAGAAATTCTCACTTATTAGGAGCCAGGCACAGTGCCAGGGACTTTACATGGTGTAGCAATCAGGATTGTAGAAAGAAACAGATGGCAAACTCAAACAGGGATAATTGAGGAAAATTTAATAAAGAGATATTTACAAAGATGTGTGCAGGGTTATTTTAGAGAAAGGAGAAAGAGATGTTACAGTGTATCAGGACTAGCAACACTGGGGAGCCTGCTCCCTTAGAGCCTCAAAGGAGGGCACCCCTAGGAGGACTCAGAGAGAGAAGGGACTACACTCAACCCAAACTGCGACCTTCAATGCATTTATGCAATTCGCCCATAGGGAACAAGGAGGGAGAGAACTCGGGAAATAAACACCCTGACCTCACTCTCCTTTCTTCTGGTGCTTTCTATTCACCAAGCCAAGTCAGGAGGCAGAGGGCGAGTTTGCCCATTAATTTAGTCGATAACATCACTCCATAGTGCACAGAAGTGTACAGAAAATGGGAGAGTGGATTTGGAGGGCAAATGAAGAATAGCCAACATAACCTCTTCTTCACCCCTCACCACATCCTAATAGGAAACAACACATCATTAACATCTGCAATTTATGGTTAAGAAATTAAGGTTCAGAAGGTCAAGGAGCTTTTGCAAGCACACACAGGTAATGTGACAGCACCAAGATCGAAACCTAGATCTTCTCAGTCCAAAGTTTGGTTTCTTTTTACAGGATAGAGTCTAAGGGTTGAAGGCAGGGATGCACATTAAAAGCACAAGGAAGCAGGGAAAAAACATGAAGGAGGAAAGAAAAGTAGCTGACACCTATTGAGCATTGGCTGTGACCCAGGCATTGTTCTAAGCTTTTTAACTGTGTAGAATTCATCAATCCTCTCATTGGCTGTATGATTTAGGTATTGTTCTCCCCATTTCACAAAGGATGAAGCAAAGTCTTAGGAAGACTTAGTGAGATATCAGGGACAGGAAGTAGTAGAATTTGAACTATACAGATTCTGGTCTCACATTTTTAGCAATTAACTTATAGAAAATGTGAGAAGAAAACAAAACAAAGATGGGAGAAGTATGAGTGCTGGGCACTATTGCCTAGAACAGTCAGGTGTCCTAAATGCTTTTTCTTAATATAGGTAAATCACTTCTTCCTTTTTGTTTCTTTTCTACTCATTTTGCTATTTATGTGTTATAATGCCAGTGGCAGTGGTGGTGGCAGGAAAAAAAATATAAAACTCCATTCAGCGCTTCTCATTATTTCAGGGTCACCTATGCAAACCTGAGAGACTCTGAAAGCAGAGTTTACCATATTCCCTTTTAAATTTACTCCTCATTTACATGCTCTCAATTAATGGCACAACCTACTTTTTTTGTTATCTGTAAAGACTTTGGTACTTCCCCACACTCTTGCTATTATGATTTACTAGATTCCTCTTTAAGTAATCTTACAAAGTCACTCTAGATCATTCTAAAAGCACTGTATCTCTTCTTGGAATATTCACTGCACACCTTTAAAATCACAGATTGATTCCACATATTATACATATACATATTATATATTAAAATATATAAATGTATATATATTTTGTATATATATGTATAAAATCTTTTGTCAGATACCATGTCCTTTGCAGTTTGCTTTCCAGTCCCCTATGTTTGGTATATAGTAGTACCTCAATAAATGGCTCTTCAATAACCAAGTGGAAATTGGGCTTCTATAATTTCTCTGCTTGAATGAAAGCGTTTGACTTGCTATTGAACATACTGAGAAATGGATGCCTCAGATTTTGTAGGCTTTCTTCCCCAGCAAAGGCTAGGTAAGGCTGCGATTGCCTGACTTCCTTTATTGTTTTCTTTTGATATCTCACCTGCTGTAAGCCCTGCTGTTCTTCAAATGTCAGGCTGACTTGGAACCAATCCTTTGATATGCTGTTTCATGGGGTTTGCAGATACTAAGTTAGGTGCATTTTTATTCTCTTTGTTTCTATTTTCATGAACTCTTCTAGAGGACATGGGTCAGAAAGGCCTCAAGGTTAGCTTATGTCTAAATGGTATTTTTCAGGCAACAAGACTATATTTTTATACCCTCCAATGCTTTGGACGCCGAGTCAAATATTTTGGCACTTGTCCCAGTCATGAGGAACAATTCAAACCAGAGTGACTGGCAAAGAATTCTTGAATCAAAGGTACCAAAGTAGAGTTTCTTTAAGGTCACTGAACACAAGGCACAATCTTTTAGCTTCCAAAGGAGGTGTGCACAGTGTGTTCTGAAGAAAGAAGCATGCAGGCTACATTCTTCAGGTTTGAATGCTACTGACAATGTCTACTGCCTCAGAGGCAGATGGATTCTAAACCTCTCTCCCCCTCTCTCTTCTCTATTATCTTTCAGCCAGCCATCTTGCTGAGAGAAGACCTCAACCTGGGCCGCTGTGCATGGTCTGGAAGCTGTAGCATTCCTGTTTAGTGGATCACGTTCCCTGCATGGCAGCCTCTCTTCCACTGAACTGACATTCCGCCCCCAATGTCATCTGTGATATCAGCATCTGTAGCAGCTGCTGCTTCTTCCGGCTGAGAAATCTCAATGTTTGCCTTGAAAATGTCAACCCTTCACCTCTCTCAACATTCAGACTCACTCATCAGTTCATTTCCAGCTGCCCTTAAAAGTATTCAGAATAAATGATGCACAAAGGACAGTTTAAACACAGCAAAGCAGTTGTAGGCAAGTCATCTCCAGTTCAGCAGCCTGGTCTTCCTTAACCACAAGTATCACATTTTCATTTAAATGCATTTCTGGCACAGGAGCCCTTGGCTATGTATCTGCTTTGGCAATTGGAGAACACTTGGCAGCTACCAAGCACAATGGGGAGAAACATCCCGAAAAAGAGTGGGTGAAGAGGGCATTCAGTGGTAGGTTATCCTGAATTGTCTTTCCTTTGTTTTTCATCCATACTGCTCCATCGTCAAGTTGGAATTTACCTTGGAAAAAGCTAGTAATTTGTTTCTTCCCTGCTGACAGAAATTTCATTGTTGATCTCCAGGGCATCCTTGTGCCATGACCACATTAGGTCTTACTCAAGGTTCTCAAGTTTATATTTTAATATTGAAAGTTAGAATATGATAGGACCAATGGAAGAGTTTATCATAAAAAAGAAACGGAAAGATACATCCATCTGAATGCAGAGTTCCAAAGAATAGCAAGGAAAGAAAAGAAACACTTCCTAAGGGATCAATGCAAAGAAATAGAGGAAAACAACAGTATGTGAAGGAGTAGAGATCTTTACAAGGAAATTAGAGACACCCAGGGAACACTTCATGCAAAGATGGGCACAATAAAGGACAAAAACAGCATGGACATAAGAGAAGCAGAAGACATTAAGAAGAGGTGGAAAAAATACACAGAAAACAATTACAAAAAATATCTTTAGGAACCAGATAACCACGATGGTGTCGTCACTCATCTACACAGAAAACCTAGAGTGCAAAGTCAAGTGGGCCTTAGGAAGCATCACTACAAACAAAGCAGGTGGAGGTGACAGAATTCCAGCTGAGCTATTACAAATACTAAAAGATGCTGCTTTTAAAGTGTTGCACTCAATGTCCCAGAAAATTTGGAAAACTCAGCAGTGGTCACAGGACTGGAAAAGATCAATTTTCCTTCTAATCCCAAAGAAAGGCAATGCCAAAGAATGTTCAAACTACACACAATTGTGCTCATTTCACACGGTAGCAAAGTAATGCTCAAAGTTCTTCAAGCAAGTCTTAAACAGTATGTGAGCTGAGAAGTTCCAAAGCTGGATTTAGAAAAGGCAGAGGAACCAGATATCGAATTGCCAACAACCATTGGATTATAGAAAAAGCAAGAGAATTCCAGAAAAACATCTACTTCTGCTTCATTGACTATGCTAAAGCCTTAGACTGTGTGGATCACAACAAACTGTGGAAAATTCTTAAAGAGATGGGAATATCAAACCACCTTACTTTCCTCCAGAGAAACCTGTATGCAGGTCAAGAAGCAATAGTTAGAATGAGACATGGTACAATGGACTGGTTCCAAATTGGGAAAGGAGTAGGCCAAGGCTGTATATTCTCACCCTGCTTATTTAACTTGCATGCAGAGTAACTTATGTGAAATGCTGGGCTGGATGAAGCACAAGCTGGAATCAAGATTGCCAGGAGAAATATCAATAACCTCAAATATGCAGATGACACGACCCTATTCAGTTCACTTCAGTTGCTCCGTCTTGTCTGACTCTTTGTGACCCCATGGACTGCAGCATGCCAGGGTTCCCTGTCCATCACCAACTCTCAGAGTTTACTCAAACTCATGTCCATTGAGTCGGTGATGCCATCCAACAATTTCATGCTTTGCTGTCCCCTTATCCTCCCACTTTCAATCTTTCCCAGCATCAGGGTCTTTTTGAATGAGTCAGTTCTTCCCATCAGGTGGGCAAAGTATTGGAGTTTCAGCTTCAACATCAGTTCTTCCAATGAATATTCAGGAGTGTTTTCCTTTAGGTTTGACTGGTTGGATCTCCTTGCAGTCCAAAAGACTCTTAAGCGTCTTTTCCAACACCACAGTTCAAAATCATCAATCCTTTGGTGCTCAGCTTTCTTTACAGTTCAACTCATATACATACATGACTGCTGGAAAAATCATAGCTTTGACTAGATGGGCCTTTGTTGGAAAAGTAATGTCTCTGTTTTTTAATATGCTGTCTAGGTGGTCATAGCTTTTCTTCCAAGTAGCAAGTGTCTTTTAATTTCATGGCTGCACTTACCATCTTCAGTCATTTTTTAGTTCCCCAAAATAAACTCTCTCACTGTTTCCATTGTTTCTCTATCTATTTGTCATGAAGTGATGGGACCCGGTGCCATGATCTTAGTTTTATGAACGTTGAGTTTTAAGCCAACTTTTTCACTCTCTTCTTTCACTTTCATCAAGAGGCTCTTTAGTTCTTCTTTGCTTTCTGCCATAAGGGTGGTGTCATCTGCGTATCTGAGGTTATTGATATTTCTCCTGGCAATCTTGATTCCAGCTTGTGATTCATCCAGCTCAGCATTTCACATGATGTACTCTGCATATAAGTTAAATAAGCTGGGTGATAATATACAGCCTTGACATACTCCTTTCCCAGTTTTGAACCAGTCTGTTGTTCCATGTCTAGTTCTAACTGTTGCTTCTTGACCTGCATACAGATTAATCAGGAGGCAGGTCAGGTGGTCTTATATTCCCATCTCTTGAAGAATTTTCCACAGTCTGTTGTGATCCACACTGTTGAAGCCTTTGGCCTAGTCAATAAAGCAGAAGTAGATGTTTTTCTGGAACTCTCTTCCTTTTTCTATGATTCAACAGATGTTGGCAATTTGATCTCTGGTTCTTCTGCCTTTTCTAAGTCTAGATTGAACATCTGGAATTTCATGGTTCACATACTGGTGAAGCTTAGCTTGGAGAATTTTGAGCATTAGTTTCTTGTGTGTGAGATGAGTGCAGTTGTGTGGTAGTTTGAACATTCTTTGGCTTTGCCTTTCTTTGGGATTGGAATGAAAACTGGCCTTTTCCAGTCCTGTGGCCACTGCTGAGTTTTCCAAATTTGCTAGCATATTGAGTGCACACCTTAACAGCACCATCTTTTAAGGTTTGAAATATCCCAACTGGAATTCCATCACCTCCACTAGCTTTGTTCTTAGTGATGCTTCCTAAGGCCTATTAGACTTCACATTCCAGGATGTCTGGCTCTAGATGTGTGATCATACCATGGTGGTTATCTGGGTCATAAAGATCATTTTGTATAGATCCTTGTGTAATCTTGCTACCTCTTCTTAATATCTTCTGCATCTGTTAGGTCCACACCATTTCTGTCCTTTATTGAGCCCATCTTTGCATGAAATATTCCCTTGGTATCTCTAATTTCCTTGAAGAGATCTCTAGTCATTCCCATTCTGCTTTTTCCCTCTATTTCTTTGCACTGATCACTTAGGAAATCTTTCTTATCTCTCCTTGCTCATCTTTGGAACTCTGCATTCAAATGGGTATATCTTTCCTTTTCTCCTTTGCTTTTGATTCTCTTCTTTTCTCAGCTATTTGTAAGGCCTCCTCAGACAACCGTTTTGCCTTTTTTCATTTCTTTTCCATGGGGATGGTCTTGATCCCTGTCTCCTGTTCAATGTCACGAACCTCTCTCCATAGTTCTTCAGGCACTCTGTCTATCAGATCTAATCCCTTGAATCTATTTGTTATTTCCACTGTATAATCATAAGGGATTTGATTTAGGTCATACCTGAATGTTATAATGGTTTTCCCTACTTTCTTCAATTTAAATCTCAATCTGGCAATAAGGAGTTCATGATCTGAGCCACAGTCAGCTCCCGGTCTTGTTTTTGCATACTGCATAGAGCTTTTCCATCTTGGCTGCAAAGAATATAATCAACCTGATTTTGGTGTTGACCATCTGGTGATGTTCATGTGTAGAGTCTTATCTTGTGTTGTTGGAAGAGGGTATTTCCTATGACCAGTGTGTTCTCTTGGCAAAATTCTGTTAGCCTTTGCCCTGCTTCATTTTGTACTCCAAGGCCTAATTTGCCTGTTACTCCTGGTATCTTGACTTCCTACTTTTGCATTCCAGTCCCCTGTGATGAAAAGGGCATCTTTTTTGGGTGTTAGTTCTAAAAGGTCTGTAGGTGTTCATAGAACTGTTCAACTTCAGCTTCTTCAGCATTACTGGTTAGGGCAGAGACTTATATTTTTGTGATATTGAATGGTTTGCTTTGGAAACGAACAGAGATCATTCTGTAGTTTTTAAGATTGCACCCAAGTACTGCATTTCAGACTCTTGTTGACCATGAGGGCTACTCTATTTCTTCTGAGGGATTCTTGCCCACAGTAGTAGATATAATGGTCATCTGAGTGAAATTCGCCCATTCCTGTTCAGGAGCAGTGACCCCACAAGACACTGACCCAGACTTTCCCGTGAGTGTCCCGGAGTCTCCAGCGGAGCTGTGCGTCAGTGGTTGCTTGTTGCAGGGTCAGGGGCACTGCGTGCAGCAATGCCCGCGTGGGGCCTTTTGGAGGAGGTCGCCATTATCGTCATTACCTCCACCATTGCTCATTGACACAGAACAAGTGGCAGAATTGGCATTTCAGTTGAGGCTGTAGCAGAGACCACACTCTTGATGATGATGCAGCTTTGCTCCCCATCTGCAACAAGCACCCAGATCCAGTGTATTGGATCTGAGGGATTTTCCAAGCAGGAATACTGGAGTAGATGGTTGTTTCCTCCTTCAGGAGATCTTTCTGACTCAGGCATTGAACTCACATCTGCTGCGTTGGCAGGCAGATTTTTTCACCACTGAGCCACCTGGGAAGCCCTAAAGAATCTGAACGGGTGCTATTAGTTAAGAAAGGGTCCCAGCTTTCTTTCTTTCTTTCTTTCTATTTTACTGTGTGTTAATCTCATTTTAAAAACACAGCCATCTAAAAATTGGTATCATCTTGCTTTTCACAATTTTAACCAAGGGTGGAAAATGCCACGAAGAACTGCCAAGGAAACCAGGGAGTCAAATGAAGGCATGGGGAGAGGGCCACCGGGCTGCCTGCCATCACTCCACACCTGCAGAACCATTTCAGCAAGCGCTTGGGGCACCTGATCTCTAATCAAGGCACTGACTCAGACACTCCAGCCAGCAGGGACTCTGCAATCACCAGAGGAGGGACTTTGATCAACTCCCTCTACTGTAAAGTGACTTTAAGTCCTCTGGTCTACTTTCTGTCCCTCCAGACAGGCCCTCTTAATAGATAAAGAGCACATTTTAAAGGGTACCAAAGTATGGAGGCTGATATCTGGAAAAGGCAACTTGTTATAAATCTCAAAGGCACACCCAGAAGTGCACCCTGCACTCCTCTGCTTCAGTCAAAACAAAAGACCAAGTCCAAGGAGTCAGGAAGGCTTACACGGTATCAAAATTTAGCATCTGCAGTCAAAAATTCACGCCTGAACTACTCGAAAGCCAAGAAGGTATGCCTAACACAGCATCAATCATCTGGTCCTTGTCATCTCACCCCAAGCTTTCAAGACGGGGAGATGTACTTTAAAATCTCAATATCAAAGAAAGAAAACCCCAATGTTAAAAGTACATTAATTAATAACTCCACCATCATCTGAACCACTGGGCTAGGATCAGATCTTATGACCACATCTCTGCGGGGCATAGAATATTTTGTATGTTGTAAAACATGGTAAAAGGTACAGTGGCATTTAAAAATAAAACCATGGGAATGGACAGTAAAAGGCCCATTGTAATAGTTGACCTGACTTCCATGGGTGGGAGGGACTTTTGCTGAATA